GACAGGCTTTAAGGCTCGAGCAATCTGAAACGCCATTGTTGAAAAATGGTCCGAGCGTTCACGATGCAATTAGATAGATAGGTAGGGTCTTCAAGCGCGAAGCTCATGGTAACCACTGCCCGGAAGCGGATCAATTCTTGCCTCACCTTCAAGCTGGATGCAACTGAGCATTCATGGATCAGATTTGTGGGCTTGTCAGCCTCCTGACAATTTCCTGGACTTTCGCACTGAGCCACAAGCGTCCACCTTTTGATGTCAGTCGAGAGAGTGACTGAGGAACCAACCTTCGCATAAATTTGGTCTTTGCTTGGATCCCACCCTAGAGCGGCTTGGCATTGCAGAGGTATCGCTCATGGTTGCACGTCTTCTGACTCAACTGTTGGGAATTGATCCTTGTTCCAGCTTGATGCTGCTTACACCTGCTAGCTTCTGAGCAACGTGCAAGCCGCTGATGCGCAACAAAACCAACCTCGACCATGCATGCTCTGAGATTGCACTTGTCTAGAGGGTCGATCGTCGAGAATATCTCACCAAAGCGACGAGACATTTGCAAGTGATTGTGCGGACTGCAGGCGTGCCTTGGCATCATCTGCATCTTTGGAGGAGGAGCAGCGGCTGCATCACGTCAACGCAGGGTCCTCATCAACTGCAGCTGTACGGTTGGGTTCAAGCTAAGTTCGAGAACACAGGCAGGAATAGGTTGGTGCGCACAAGCTTGAACAGTTCCATGCAGATGGAGAGAACGCCACTCAGACAGGGGAAATCGGAATAATGCACAACGCGCCAGCGCCACCTTCTGCAGTTTGGATGGGAGGCGGGTTGCCTCATGTCCTTCCGTCTCCAGGATGCGACCTAGAGACCAGGGGGGAAAGTCTGGTCGAGCGTTGCTAGCGGTAAGCAAGGCCTTGATTGAGGTCATACATGTTGCGCTCTTTCAAATCCCTACTCAGGATGCAGAGGGTGAGGCAGCGGCACAACGAGGTGAGAGCAACCGCCACACGCCGGTCACCAGCAATGCCCGCAATGAGATGCAGTTTGCAAGTCGCATTCCTGACCAAGCTACTGCGAAAGGTCTGATTTGTTGCAGATGCGCAGCAACACATTGGCCCTATCGAGAAGGGGGAGGGGCCCCTGGTGCCTACACCCAAACCACACCGCGCAAGTGCAAAGGCACAATCATGCACAATCGGGCTTTTCCCCAATCCAAGTCTTGAACATATTCACCCACCCGGACTAGCACGAGCCACCCAAGCTAGCGCGTCCGCAACTTGAATGCTTCTCATGCAGTTCTTTCAAGGCTCGGCGGGTCAGCTTTGCTTTTACTGGGCTTTGTGGTTGCGAGCTGAAATTGTGTGAAAAGCCACGACAAGTACGCACTTTGAACAAGACAGGTGCTAAACGCAACGGGAGTGCTGCACTGCGGGCATGTGCGCGTGACTGTGGCAGGAATGCCAGTACAACCCCAAATCGAGTGGATGCTCCTCGCAGGAGCGATCGGGAGCGCAACCCGAAGCCAGTCTGCAGAGGATGCTGTGGAAAGGAGCGTTATTGCGAGCAAGAGTCCGAGGTTGCGCTACACGTGCCGAGTGGCCAACAAACTAGAAGCCTTCCGTAAAAAACGAAATGTGTTACTCATGATGCGCGGCATGTCTGTTTGACATCTGCTTGCCCTTCATGCATAACAGTCAGACGGCAGGGAAAAATTCATGATATGTTATGATGATAGATCTCACACGACCCGATTGACAAACACTCTTGCAAACAACTGGCTGTTGCAAAAAGGTGGGGGGATGATACTCTGGTGGTTTGGAGGGTGCAACCCCCCTCATTTGCAAACAGAATGATCAGACGTAATGCTGCTGGATCCTTTGGACAATATTCCTGGGCAACCTTTGCAAACATTGCAAGCATGGTCAACCATGGTGATGGGAAAACGGTGTCGGGCACCGACAAACCACAGGAGCAGCCTTGGCCAAGCCTTGGGAAAAACACCTTTCCCATGCTTGTCAACTTGGCTCCAGAGACGCGAAGGAGGGCAGCCCTATCCAAGGAGTTGGGAGCTGGCTGTACCCACGCAGCGTGTTTCTACAAACCCTTGGCCTCACCACAGCACAGAATCCACGCTCTGTGACAAGGTGAGCGCTGGTGACATGGGCACAGGGTCCCAGAAAGGGGAACCGGAAGACATGGCATATTCCAGTAGTTACCAGCGAAACAGACAGAGTGAAAGGGAGCATGACATGAACGCAAAGGCTGATGCGCGAGCCAAGGCGACACATGGGGCTAGGGGACGGCGAGCTCATGGTGCACTGAAAATGCCAAGTCTTTGGACAAAGCGGAAAAGGCCTTTTTGTTTGGGACTGAGGCTGCGCTGCGTCGGGCATTTTGGCGGGCAGCCCTCCAGGCCTGAGCTTGGGACAAGAGCCTGAGCCTCTCAGGGAATGCTTCCCGAATGTTTGCGACCTTTACCCTATTGCATCGTATTTCCCTAGATGTAGATGCTCGATGAAGACTTTCTCTATGTAGCTGTAGCTTCCCCGTCAAGCAAGTGATGTGATTCCTTTCTGCAGCGCAGCCACCTTAGTAAAAGCCAGGGGCTTGTGGAGCTGCCGGCACTGCAGCTGCAGGTGCAGTGGGTGCACTAGCAATCTTCTTTCATGCCACGGCTTCTGCGCTAGGCCCATTGGAGCAAACAACTGGTAACAAGCGTGCGACGGGTTGGACATGCTAAGCACATGCCATCATCCCATCCTGCAAGAATTCCCGCTTGCACTGCCAGCGACAAAACTTGCAGCAGCAATAGTTCGGCTGTGTAAGTTTGAGAGAAGCGTTGTAGTGAGATGGTGCTCCTTAGCCAGTCCTTTGATCTCACTTGTGGCCTTTGGCAGGCCACTCACGTCTCTCACAATGCAGTTGTGGCTGCAGCAGTGGCTCGATCCATTGTTCGGGCTACAGATCAGTTTTGTTTAGAGATGGCAGCGGCTTCTGCCTGAAGATGGTGTTCAAAGAGTTTTACATCTTAGTTGGCCGGGGTTTCTCAAAGCGTGACCAACGACACCTCAATCTCCAGCCAACGCAACGTGAGTGACCGCAATCTCAACTTCACTAAGGCCTCGCATTCGAGCTGGTCAGCTGCGCTACGCATTCTTTGCAAGAGCTTTCTACACAAACACCATAGCGTGCCCGGGACTGGCAGACGAATGTTTTTGAACTCGTGGTTGCAGGCTAAAGCAGTGTGAGCATCATTAGTTTGCAAAATTACGCCCTTTGCTGGCAGAAGTCTTCTCCATAAAAACACCCTGACGCCTCTTTGCTGCAAAGCCTCAATTCTGTTTGTTCTGTGCATATGTTGGATGTATCTGCATGTGTGCATGTGCATTTTATTCAAGTCACTGGTTGGAATGCAAGGCTGCGTGAGATTTCTTACCCAATGCGCAGATGTAATGATGTAATGAATGCAGTAAAGTTGGGACAAAGTTTTTTCGTGAACCTCATAGGGCAGTGTAGTTGCAGCCCAAGTCAAGTGCGTCGATGAGCCTTTTTCAGGTGACGCGCATGCCTACAACAAAAGACTTCTGTGTGATACATTGTGATATTTATCAGGATCTTGACCAGAACAATGCACTGAAATTATTGCGCGCGTGCTGCGCTTTTCACTCTGCTGGCAAGTTGCGCGATTGGAGCATTTGTTGGCCATAAAGGGTGCCAACAAGCAACTCCCACACAGGGCGTCTCCAGATGTGGTGCCAGATTCGTGATCTGGTTGTGTGAACACATCAGAAAGCCATATCTATGGCCCCAGATTTGGGCCTACGTTTCTGGATCAAGATGATGCTTGGTTTTGGGCATGCGCAAAGCATCCCCTCCTCCATACACCATCAAGGCAGGCCGCGGCCCCTGTGCCCGAAACATGAAACACACGAACATCCTTCTGAATTCTCTGACGCGTCTTAGAAGTTCTCAACTAAGACCAACGGCGCAGCGTCAGAACCCGCTTTGAACCCACGGAATATGGAAATCAGAAATCGTGATTTTTCTCGCGCTGTGGGGCCCCTGTTGGAAAACATTTTTTCAAATTCATGACTTTGCTACAGGAATCCTCTCGCATGTGTTGCTTTTAACAGCTGTAGTTGCGAGATGGAAGCTGTCTAAATAAACTGCTCCTCAAACCCACCGATGACAAGGTTCACATTTTGCAGAAATGTGACATCTTTCAACATATTGGTTGGCCATATCACGCAAGTTGAAATCATAACAAATTTCTCTGAGGAAGCGTAAACCACGTTGTGGTTTCCCGCCGTTCACTTGAGCAGAGATCAAAATCCTCTAGTGGGGAACTCTTCAGCGAATGGCGGTAAGGAGCTTGCCGTGAGCAAACGTCTGGGTTTCGTAAGCT